ATTGCATTAGCAACCTGCTTGCAGCCAGCATTTAATATACTCATAAAAGAGTCTTTGCACGCTCATCTCTCAGCCTCAGACTGCAAGGAAATATAATATTGTACAGTTATGGTTTTTTGTGACCAACAGATTTACCTTGATCTGGACAAGATCACTTTGGTTCAGCCAGCCTCAAGTTTGAGGTGATGAAATTATGCCTAGATACAACACCTTTATTTTTATGAAATTTATCAGAAAAAACCTGAATAACTTCAATTTTTAGAGATTTTGTACAATAGTAACATGCTTTATGCCTACAACTTACTTTTGATTTCTTTCCCACCAAACTAGCAAATTTGCTTGCTTACATGTTTTTTTCATTCTTCTTTGTTTCTTTTGTTTTCTTATCTTAGTTGTTAAAACAGGTGACTGATTAAAGTCTTCAATCTGCACATCCATAATTTATTTTGTAATTAACAAACTAGTTTTACTAACTAAAATAATAATTACATAAAAAGAAAGTACCATCACATTTCCAGGTATAGGACAAAATAATAGGAACACCTGTGAAAGAATGCAAAATATTTATTAGTAGGGAGTTGGGCCACCATTGGCCTGAATTACAGCTTGTATCTGATTTGGGATTGAGAAATAAAGGTTGTGCAGAAAGTTTAAGGGAATTTGCAGCCATTCCTCCTGCAGAGCAGTCTTGAGTTCAGGTAGTGTGCATGGAGGAGGAAACCGAGCACAGACTTTGTTCTCTAAAAACACCACACAGGCTCAATGATGTTGAGATCAGGGGACTGAGGACACCATGTGAGATGTTCCACTTCATCATTATGCTTATCCAACCATGTTTGAACACAGCGCCATGTGTATAGGGGCGTTGTCATCTTGGAATAGAGGACGTTCTCCAGGAAACAGAGTATGAAGCATAGGGTGTAAATGATCTGTGAGAATACTGCAATAATGCTCTTCTTTGACCTTCTCCCTCAGGACTACAAGTAGCCCCAAGCCATGCCACGATATCACTCCCCACAGCATCATAGAGCCCCCTCCATGCTTCACGGTAGGAGCCAGGCAATTAACATGAAATGCCTCTTCCGGTGTTTGCCAGATGAATACACATCTGGTGGTCTGAAATAATGTAAATGATGATTCGTCATACCAGATGACCTGTTCCCATTTCTGTTGTGTCCAGTTTTGGTGGTCTCGGCACCACTGTCATTGCTTCATAGCATTCTGCAGCGACACTAATGGCTTTGGGATGGTTACTTGGCCATGAATGCTCGCAGCATGCAGCTCCCATTGAATAGTTTTGGTGGATACAGGGTTCTGGAGATGGGTATTCATCTCAGAGGTTATCTGCTGCAGTGTAGTTTTATGTTTTTGGATGACTATTCTCTTCAACGCTCATCTATCCCGGTTGGTCAACTTCAACTTTCGCCCACTGTTCTATTTCGCAGAGGACACCTTTCCCAGTTTTGGGTAGGCTGTCATAACCCTTGGCACAGTGGATCTTGAAACATTCATAAGGTTGGTTGTTCTAGATATGGATGCTCCAGCAAGGCAAGCTCCAATAATCATGCCTCTTTGCACGTCGGACAGGTCGGACATAATGGCGCTTTGCTGGGAACAGAATTTTCTCATGCAACTGTCACACAGCCAAATGCTTGACTGATACCTTTCTTTTCACCACCACTGGGTGGCAGACTGTTGTGACACATGGTGGGGGCTGTATTGGACAGTTGAAGTGCAACACATTTCGAAAGGGGTGTTCCTATTATTTTGTCCTATACCTGTATGTATGTACAAAATACAATAATGTCAGTGTTTGAGTGGTATTTTGAAAAGTTGGATTTGGCATCTTTTGGAAATCAGCTCCTGAAATATTAAATTGTCTGATATAAAATACTATATTTTTCATTGGTTGAGAATTTGATTATTCTCTATGGTCAATGTTTCAACTATCTTTAAATTAATTTTTTAAATTTTTTTATATGATGATAATTCATTAACAGTCAAAGAAATAAATGCTTATTATAGATATTATCTCATTTACACTTAGATTTCTAATTCTTTATAATAATTATTATATTAACTGCAGAAAATTAAATGGAAAGCTGCCTGTTATCACAAGATGGAAATTAAGGTAGCTTTATATTTAGTTTTCTGCAATAGATTCAAAGAATCATACTGGAGGCTTAGGGTTAGCATGTTGGTTTAATGATACTTAGGTATTTATCTAAAGCTTATTTATTTAAATATTATTAAACTGTTATAATTTATTCATAAAATACAGTAGAATCTGCTTATTGAAATCATGGATATTGTTAAGTCATCTAAAGTTTTCAGAAATAGTATGTCTGAAAATATACAAATTAAAATACACTTACAAAATTTTATTTATTGAAATCAGATTTTTAGTTATAATTATTATTGTCTTCAGCTAAACAGACATTTTTAAGCTGCTTTTTGCTCAGCCTCAACATGTGGCTGATTGTTGCAGTTATTATCAGTCTTAACTAGTTCTTTACATGCTAAGCATTTTAATTGCTATTTATTAATTGTTATCCTTGNTGGCAAGAAAAAATTTTGTGGCTCTTTAAAAATTTTGAAATTTTGTAAGTTGTAATTTTGGCTCTTCCGACTCAAAAGGTTGCCGACCCCTGGTGTAAGGCCATAAAAAAGATGGTATAATTTATTTTTTCCTCTTATAATTTAAACAATTATTTACAACTCTTATGACTAAGAAATTTCTGTTGTTTCTCATAAGGCATCGGATTGCAAAAGAGCACTAGTGAATTGCACCCACTAATGCTCTTTTGGTAATGTTAGGGTTGGCCATATCGACTTAGAAATTAAATGCATTGGCAGGAAAATATTGTCACATTACTCTGGCGAGATTATACTGACTTGGATGTTGGCAAAATGATTAGAGTAGGTTTGACCTTGGATCAATGATATCAAAAACTTCAGCATTGACAAAAATACCCTCTTATGATTACCACTCCTCCCACCAGCTTGCCCCAGATTTTTACTTTGAAGATCCAGGTGATCATCCCATGTTTAGGATTTACACTGATGAAAAATCAAAAAAATGTAACACCTTAATTTGCTGAGAAAATTTAATGAAAAAGCAAACATTTTCAGCCAAATCTATTGGCCATCATCAGGCTGAGATATTCGAATATAAATAAAATAGAACATAAATTTAAATACAAATAAAAATAAGGAATGACGTGTGTATTTTTAGTTATAATTATTATTGTCTTCAGCTAAACAGACATTTTTAAGCTGCTTTTTGCTCAGCCTCAACATGTGGCTGATTGTTGCAGTTATTATCAGTCTTAACTAGTTCTTTACATGCTAAGCATTTTAATTGCTATTTATTAATTGTTATCCTTGCATTACAGTAGTTTGAATTGCTGGCATTTGTTAGTTAAATTATATCAGGTTGTTCAATAAGTTTTGTCATTCGATAAGAAAAACACAATTTTATGGTTTGAAATACATTTTATTATTCAATATAATCTCTCTGAACTTCAATACACTTGTTCTGGTGATCTTCTAATTTATGGATTCCATCCCTGAAGTGAGAATCTGGAAGACTGTCAAAATATGCTTCCACGGCTGCTATTACCTCTTCGTTCGATAAAAATTGTTTCCCACGCATGAATTTTTTGAGATGTGAGAACAGAGGGAGCTAAATCTGGTGAATAGGGTGGATGTTGCAACAATTTGTACTTTAATTCACTGATTTTTGTGATGGTTTTTTGAGCTGTGTGAGAGGGTGCGTTGTGTTGATGAAAAATGAATTTTTTCTTCTGTAAACCAGATCTTTTCTCATGAATTTTTACATCCAACTGGTCCGAAAGGTTACAATAATAATCTGAGTTTATTGTTTTACCAGTTTGGAGGTAATCCATGAACAAAATTCCTTTTGCATCCCAAAAAACTGATGCTAACACCTTCTTGGCCAATTTCTGCACTCTAACTTGTTTCGGAGCCGAAATACAGGGTTCATACCACTCCTTAGCATGTTGTTTTGATTCAGGATCATGATGTTAGACCCAAGTCTCATCCATAGTGAGAAACGATGCTCAGAATCCTTTTTTGTCCTTTCTAAAATGCTCCAAATGTTGCTGAGAAAGTTGCATTGAATGTATTTTTGTTCCATTGTTAGTGAATGTGGCACCCATTGTGCACACAGCTTTCTGTAACCCAAAACTTCAGCCAAAAGATTGCTCACATTACCTAATGAGATCCCTAGGACTTCTACTAAATCTCTCTCAGTTAATCGATGATCTTCCAAAACCATACGCTGTATTTTTGCTACAATTTCTGATGTTGATGCACTTTTTGGATGTCCTTCATGTGGATCGTGTTCTAGACTTGTACGACCACATTTAAATTCAGCAACCCATCTTTCTACTGTTTTAATTGAAGGTGAAGAGTCCTTATACACTTTTAACAATCATTCATGAATTTGTTTTGGTGTGCTACACCTTCCAAAAATAAGAATTTTATCACTGCACAATATTCAATTTTTTCCATTGTAAAAAAATACAGTAACACCTCAACTTTGAAAAGCTGTAAATATACAAATGAATTGACAGACCTACATGAAACTTCACACATGTTCATAAAAAAAGCAGTACTATTTTTAGAGAAATAGCAGGAACCTACTAGCATGAACCTAAAACTTATTGAACAACCTAGTACATCAGATGAATTCCTTTAATAATAATAATTATTATTATAATTAATAAATTTTTAAGTTATTTATTTATAATTATTTTAACATTTGCTTTTAATAACAGAGTCAATAAAACTAGAATTTCCACTAATTATAGTCTTATTTACTTAGCCTTCTTAAATTAAACTTTTACTTCTAATATATTCTTAAATTTATTGTAGGTATATATATGTTAACTGATTACATGTGTTTTTGTTTATAATGTTAATTTTGATCTTATTGTTTTATCAATATAATAACAATCTATTAATACAATTTTTAGGTATTTGTCATACTTGTGGAGAAAAAGTAACTGGTGTTGGTCAAGCATGTCAAGCTATGGGAAATCTATACCATACTAATTGTTTTATATGTTGCTCTTGTGGTAAGATAATTTTAATAATTTCATAATTAATTGTAAAAAATATATATTTTAGTGATATTAATAGTATTATTAGTGTTTATTTTCAAAATTATAGTCATTACTTTTTATTGAAATTTTTAAAAGTAATTTCACAATAAAAGTATTTTCAAAATATATTAAGAGTAGAATGAGTTAATTTAAATAATTAATCAGTTTAGTCCAACATAAAATTAAATACATGAATTTAAATATACAGATATAAATCAAAATAATCATATTTAATTCAAATTTGATTACTAGTTATGTACTGTATGTTGGTACTTTTTACAAGAACAAAATTTTCCAATTAATACTTTTAAAAAAACAATACTAATTCTTATATCATCAGGATATTTTAAGGTGTAAGGCAGGGGTCGGCAACCTGCAGCTCGCGAGCCACATGCGGCTCTTTGGATGTGAAGTTGCGGCTCTAGTTCCATACACAAATATTTATTTTATCAAAAAAAAAATTTAAAAATCGTTCTGAATCGATTAATGAGGATTAGGTACTGATTCTTTCTCTCAGCCACTTGTACTCGCTTTTCACTGCACCCCTCCCCTGTGACACGCGTCGTCACTGTCGTCAGTCCGTCTGAAGCTCTCGAATGACGCCGTCGTCGGATGTTTCTATTATCTAATTTGTTGTGAAAAATACTACTTATATATGAATAAATAGATATTTTTTCTTATAAATAAATAGATTAGTTTTTATCAAAAAACTTTATTTATGCGAGTACTATTTATTGTTGGCAAGAAAAAATTTTGTGGCTCTTTAAAAACTTTGAAATTTTGTAAATTGTAATTTTGGCTCTTCCGACTCAAAAGGTTGCCGACCCCTGG